TCGATAGGTGTGAGGCTCTACGCCTAGCACGGGCTCGAAATAGATGTGGAAGTTGCTAAACAAGCCGTGGATATTGTAAGTGAGAGTTAAGGCGTTGCGTGGCCGATCAATATCGACGCCTTCGATCAAGTGCCCGACTCTATAGTCGAACATGTTAAGAATGGCCAAGGCCGCTTGCTTAGAGGGATCCTAAAAAGAAGAGAGCTAGGTTAGAAAACAGCTGCGTTCGTAGACTACTAGGGCTGAATACTAGTTCCTCGCTACGTCCAAGCCTTGTTAAAGAGTGCGGCAGAATATAGGCGACTTCCAAGGGCTTAAACGTCCTAGGCTGCTCCTCGTCGAGCAGGTTGCTATCGTCAGCTCGGGCGTCATCGCCGGCGCTCTCAAAGCGTGTCACCGCTTCGCTACGGTCGAATCTCCGAGTCACGACACAACGATAGCGGTCGCGGATGAGGCAGGTACTACGTAGGGCCGATATTCTCTCCGGGGTCCCTGCAAATCTCACCCCTCCCTGCAATCGTTGAATAGCGGAATGGTATGCCGGCGAGGGCTGAGGGGCCTTTCTAGCAAAGGCTTTAACTAGTAGAAAGAGTTAGTGAGGGGTATAAATGTGTGAGGCAAGGGAGGGCAATGCAACTTACGGGGTAGGAAGAAGTTATTAAAGAGGTAATCTACAAAGCCGAAAAACTTCGCCCGAATCCGCTCGCCTAGGGCTTCCTCACCGTCCATAGACAATTCGAGCGAGCCAAAGAAAGCTCGTAGGAAGTTATCCTGCGAGAGAGGCGAGCGCGCATGGTCGTATGTGAGGCGAATAAGCCGCGAGCGATTGTATCGGGGGCTGCTGCCGCCGCCGCCGCCGCCGCCGCCGATGTTCCCGTCGTTGTCACTGCTACTGTCCCTATCCTCAGCGGCCGCCTCAAAGTGGTCCGCGATATGGTAGAATCTGCGCCTGGCCCGGTCGCGCGCGCCTGGGCTTAAAGGCGACTCGGTTTGAAATTCAATGATGCTCTCTAGCGAAGATTGGTGCATGTGGTGAGTCGAGGATGGCGACTGCTGCGCCATCGCGTCGACCTGTTGTGGTTGACTGCCACCAGCTCACTGTGTCGGTTTGCTGAAAACTGGAGGGCGCTCGATTGGCTGGAGGGACGCACGAATCGCGGGCTCAATCACGACCCTGCCTCACCTGCCTGCCAGATGAAATTCCCGTCTTGGGGTAGATATTGCCGCTTCTGATTGGCTGTAATCTTACACTGTGTTCCATACTCCTTTCGCGTAATTCTCCAGTTCTTGAACGCTCAAGACAAAGTCTCCCTCCCCAGGGCCCGGATCTCGAAGAAATAGGAGCCTGAATCCCAGTACTAATGCACCTCTAGTAACATTGTACGACACCGGGTTGGTAGTGGTATCCTGAATGATGGTGATGGTCTGTCGGAGCACCGGCTGAAGGGCAGCGGCATTTCGTGTCGTCGTCGCTCCCGGACGAGTACTGGAGGGTGCTTCCTCCCACTTCTCCAAAGTGATGGCGCGGCGAGTATGTTCAAACTTGACGAGAAGAACAATCTGGACCTGGTGATCTGACGTAGAAAACCACCATCTCATATCGTTGCGCAATCCGGCCAATGACTCAGAGACTCCCGCTTCGATGACAAGTGTTGGCCAGTCATCTTTCATACCACGTTCCGGTTTTGGACCGCCGGTAGAGTCTCCCTCCCCGGCATCTCCTCCAGGATGACCATGTTCTGCTCGAAATGTAGTAGCACCGATTGTTCCCCAACTGTTTTTTCTGCCACTTATAACAAGTTGGTCACGAAAACCCTCATAAATTCCGACATGGAGTGCTTCATGTAGGCGGGTCGGGATTGTGATGAAAAGGATCTGGCGATCGCTATCGTAGCGGCGGAAACGGAATTTGCGGCGTCGCTTCTCTCGCTCACGCTCGATTTCGATGAAACAGCTAGGAGAGACGTCTAAACAATTAGTATACTAGTTATGTAAAAATAAGAGGGTAATACTCAACGTGTGACGATGAGAAGATCCCCATCAGTATGATTGATCACCTCAAAAAGATCTCGTATAGTGGTGAATGGCATAGTCGCGGTATCCTCATCTTGCTTCGAGCCTACCGAAGTCGGTACAGTATGTGCCGATGACGCCGATACCGACACCGACGGAGATGCCACCGATCTCGATCCGATCGACGCCATGGTGGAAGCGTGATGCTGGGAGACGTGAAGCGGGTAGACGTGAAGCGGGAGACGTGAAGTGGGATGTGTGGGGCCTGGAGGGGTAACAATCGGTTTGCATTCGGGGTCGAGCCTGCTGAAAATGGGGCTTTCAGGACTGCCATTTTCGGCAGCTCAATCGCCAAGACATGCACTATCCGTGAAACTTCTGGGCCGGCGTGGGAGGCGCCGCCTTTGCTGCCCGGGACAGGGCCTGGCAGGGCAGGGCAAGGGCCAACGCCGGGTGTGGCCCAAAATCGAAGGCTCCACACCTAGAGTATTCCGTAGAGAGGGGCTAGCCCGAGGTAAGTAAGCTCGAGGTAAGGTACACTAGTGTACCAAGTACCTAGGCTATGGCTAAGCGCCCGAATTGTCAAGACCCCCGAAAATAGCAGCACTGCCTTGCCAAATTCGGCGGCCAGAACAGCAAGTTCTGTACTTAGTGTGTAGTTTCTAATAGAAAAAGATAGATTACAGGACTAGTAGTTTACTATAACTAAAACAAGCTAGGTAAATAGGATAGTTATATTAGAATAGTTTTAATAGATATTTATCTCTTAGACCTAGCTATAAGACCTCTCTTATAGGCGACTATTAATACTAGATAGCTATAATAGCTATATAACTACTAAGTTTATATAGTATTACTATAATAATAAGATCTAGTTACTCTTTTTACTAACCTATACCTTTTATATCTTCTAGATACTAGATCTATCGATATTCTCTCTTCTAAAGTATATCTACTATAAGCTCTTTAACTAGGTAAATATTATTATTATTATTCCTATACTGCTATGCCCGAAGGCTTGTCGGACCTTTTATAACTAATTATAAAGGAAAACTATGCCCGTAAGACTGGACTAAAAACCTCTGTCTACCCTATATAATCTGAATCTCTAAATCCATCTACTATGGTAAAAAGGAGAGTAGTTAGATGACTAACTAGGCTAGTAATCTAGCCTAGTTCTAGTCGTAAGGCTAGCCTATATTCTAAGAGCCTCTCGGAGTCTAGTAGCCACCTAATAACCTTCCTTGCAAGCCATTTCTCTTTATTCCCCCACTCGTCGAGGGCCCTATAAAGGTCCCTCTACGAGTATATCTCTATAGCCGGCTAGGTCCTTAGTTTCAGTAGTTGGGGGCACTATACTACTAAGTGTTCTACTAAGGGCACTATACTACTAAGTGTTCTACTATTTCCCTGCCCCGGCCGCATTCTGTGACAAACCCGGTCAGACCTGACTCTGAAAGGGTTCAGCAGAGGTATCAAGACTAGTACGATCCAAAGGGTTTGGTAAAGCTAAAGGGTTTACAATAAATATTTCTTTATAATACCTGTAAGGTGATTTCAAGCACTGAACTATGAATGTATTGCTTTACTAGAGAGCTCTTAGAGTCCTCCAGAACGAGTGACTAAATACTATCTGACCCTGTCTTCTGTCCTAATGGTCGCCGGTGGTCGCTAGCATCCCTGAGCGTCTATCCTGCAGCCTTGCATTAGCGCTATATGGCTATTGGTCTGGACTGCGCCACGCAGTTCCCACTTGGCCACAATATATAGTTGGTTCGTGATACGTTCGTAGTAGTATGACAAACCCGGTCAGACCTGACTCTAAAAGGGTTCAGCAGAGGTATCAAGACTAGTTCGGTACTGAAGGTTTGGTGAAGCCAAAGGGTTTACAACAAGATATTTCTTACTATATTCGAAAGGACGTCTCAAGCATAGTGATATATTGCTTACTAGAGGACTCCCAGAGCCCTCTAGCCCTGTAACTATATACTGCTAGCTATATACCCTGATCGTAGTGATCGTAGACTGATTCCTACGATCCTATTAATATAATCGTAGCAATCGTAACGCGATTACTCTAACTAACTAACGCTTACTATAATCGTAGCTCGATCCTTATAATTACCCTTTAACTAGCTAGCTAAGCGATTAGCTTAGGCTATACCCTGTACGCCTACCTCGGGTCACTATATATAGCTATATTCGTAATACGATGCCCCTCCTCCGATACTTTCGTCCTCGAAAGGACTAATAGCCGCTCTCCCCTAGCGCCAATCGTCTATCAAATACTGCTCCCCTAGTCTACCTCGCTAGTAAGTCTCCCCTCCTTTATCCTTCTGGATTCGTGTACGTTTACTTATCAAGATGTCTAACTATATAAAGAAAACGAAGCTAAAAGTCGTATCAATACTCCGCGCCAACTACCTTCTTACTGCGATCCTTTCTTCTAACGATCTCCTAATGATATGTCCTTGTTCCGCCTACGAGGCTCGTAGGCTTGAGTCCTGCGAGGCCTCTAAGGTCGATTCTTCCCGATATACGGAATACGTCCGATTCAAGTGTTCGAACTACGACGTACTCGGTGTTTCTCCTTCTTAACTTCGGTCTATTGCTTCTCGTTATTAGAAACTTAAAGACGAGCTCTTAGAAGTAGAGGAACGGGTCCTACGGCTTCGGAAGTAAAAGAAGCTGTAGTTCGAGAAGATAATACAGGCTATTTCCTATAGTATCGATTCTATAGAGGAGCTAGAGCGCGTAGAGCGCGAAGAGGCGGAGGCGCTAGCGGCGTTAGACGCCTAGACCAACCCTCCTCCGTTATCGGCTACTCCTCCTCTTCTAGACGACAACTTCGTCCTGTCCTGGAACTATATATACCCCGAGGTATAGTTAGAGCCTTCGCTGATAAGCGACTTCGGCCTCCTAGCGGGTTCGCCTTCCTAGGTAGCCTAAAGGTACGTTCCCCGTCCCCTTTTCCTAATAAATAAAATGGTTATATAGTATAGTAGTTAGTACATACGCCTTCTATATACTTAGCCTTAGGGCCTCTAGCTATCCTAGGGTTAAGTAAGGCTTTGTATAAAGTTATAGGTTCGAATCCTATTATAGCCTTAGTCGATAAATATCTAAGCCTCTCTCGGCGGAGGTATTTGTTAACCGTCTCTTTTTACTTATATTAATTACTTATATTTAGTACTTCCTAGGGCGGCCCTTCTAGCGGTTCTAGTTTACTTTCGGTACTTCCCTTAGTCGATCCGGGTTCTAGTAGTAGAAGTTCGTAACCTTTTTAAAGTAGTAGAGGTTCTTAGCTAGTTCCTATAATTTTTCTATCGCGTTGAAATCTAACTATTTAACTAGATACTCTAGTTATCTATTGTTAATATATAAATTAAGGATCTCCTTAACGTCCTATTCTTCTTCTTTGTCCTAGGCCTCGATGTCTATTGTAAGCTTAACGTTCTTATATACTAGCTTAAGGAGTACGATATAAAAGACGTTAGTCCTAACTCGTATCGTTGTTAGTAGTACGATTCGGTAATTATTCTCCGAGATCCGTTCCTCGATCTTAAACGGCCCGATCTTCCTAAAGTCGAGTTTCTAGCTTAGTTGGTTCGTTCGAAGATTCTATAAGTTAAGGTAGACCTTATCTCCCCTCTCTAGGCGAGGACTCTCGAGCCTATATTTATTATAGTACTCCTTTATTCTACCTTTAACGAATTTGAGTTTGTCCCTAAGTATCGCGTAAAGCGTATATATCTAGTCGGCCTTAACTACTACCCTAGGGACCGAGACTTTAGGTCCCTAGCGTAAATCTACCTTATATCCGAAGTTCGCGAAGAATAGTAAGACCTTTATAGTTTCTATAAGTACTGTATTGTATATAAGCTACGCTATAGGTAGAAGTATAACCTAATCGTCTTGCTAGTAGTTAATGTAAAACCGGAAATATTATTCTACGATCTAGTTAAGTCGTTCCGTCTATTTATCTGTCTATAGATAATAAGCTATTAAGAGCTTGCTTTTTGTTCCTAAGCGTTTTATAAGTACCTACTAGAACTTTAATACGAACTTAGTATCTCTATCTATAATCTATTCTTTAGGCTATATATAGACCGAAGTAATATATCGATAGATTACGTCTACGAGTTATTCTACTAACTACGATTCCTTATATAGGAAGAAGTAGCTCTACTTAGTAAGTCTATTAACTATAATAAGAATACTATCGTATATTATTCCTGTTGTCGTATCTCTTAATACTAGTAGCTTAGTAATAAAGTCTATCATTACCGAGCTTTATAGTCGTACTATAACTAGTAGCGGTTAGAGGAGTCTGTAAGGCTTGTACCTATCTAGTTTACTTCGGTAGTATAGGTCGTATACCGCGAGTACTTCCTTAACCTTCTTTCTAAGTCCTAGGAAATTATAGTGTTACTTGATCCGGGTAACTGTTTTAGCGATTTCTATATATCCTCCGAGTCTTGACTTATAGATATCCCTGATAAGTACCTCCTAGGCAGTCTTATCGATATAGACTTTACTATCGGGCGTTAGCTTACCTAGTATCTAATCCCGTTTTTCCCTAAAGATCGTATAGTACTCCTCGAAGTACTAGAGGGGATACCTTAAGGAACTACCCTCTAGAGCTTAAAATAGTAGTAGCGAGGCTTTAGTAGTATTACCGAAATGATCCAGTCTTCTACTTAAGGTATCCGCTCATATATTTTCCGTACCTTTCTTATAGTAAATAACGAAGTTAAACTACAATAGGAACTCTACCTATTGTATCTATCGTCCGTTAAGCTCCTTCGTTATAGTAAAGTACTAGAGGTTCTTATAGTCTATATAGACCTGAACCTTATATATTATACTACTAAGGTAGGGCTTCTATTCTTCGAAGGCCTTAATGATCGCTATCAATTCCTTGTTATAGACCGGGTAGTTAAGCTATAGTCCTAAGATCTTCTATAAGAAGAATATAACGGGGTAAAGCTTACTATTGTTATCTTGTTACCTAAGTTGTCCTCCGACTATATAGTCGGACGTATTGGTCTTAACCTTAAATAGTTTTCTAGGGTCTAGTAGTATAAGTACTGGGTTAGCGACGATTAGCTCGTAGATCTATTAGAATACTTGCTCGTGCTCTTCTCCCTATTAGAACTCGACGTCCTTTTTCGTTAAATCGTATAGAGGTCGTACGATGTCGCTAAAGTTCTTAATAAACATCTAATAGAAGTTAGTAAATCTGATAAATCCTTGAACCTCTATTATTATCTTAGGTATAGGCTACGTTCTAATAGCCTCGACCTTAGTTAGTTCTATTCGAATCTATCCTAGTATAATCTCGTAGCCTAGGAAGATTGTTTTCGTAATATAGAACTTACTCTTATCCTTATTAACCGAGAGTTTCTATATATAAAGTACGTCTAGTACTTGCCTTATGTACTTCCTATATTCTTCGAGTGTCTTAGAGAAGATAAGGATATTGTCTAGATAATAGACTACGAATCGGTTTAAGAATAGACGGATCGTATAATCGACGACGGCTTGGAAGGTCGCAGGCACGTTCGTTAGGCCGAAGGGCATTACCTAATACTTAAAGTAGCTGTAACGGGTACGAAACGCTATCTTCTATTCGTCTCCCTTCTTAATATGAATATAGGCGTACGCTATCGGAAGATCGAGATAGGTAAAGTATTATACTCCTACTAACTGGTTACGGAGTTACGTAATTAGGGGCAAGGGGTACTGGTTCTTTACTATCTAATCATTTAGCTGTCGGTAGTCTATATATATCCTAAGCTTTCTATCCTTCTTTAGAATGAAGAGGACTGGACAGCCTATAGGTAATGTCGATAGTCTAATATACCCTATCTTGAGGTTAGCCTTAAGATATCTCTTTAGCTCTCTATCCTGAAGTTCGTTAGTATAGTATACCTTAAAGAACTTTAACTAGGCGCCTTCCTTAAGTTTAATCTCGTGATCCTAAGGTCCGTGATCTAGTAACCCTTCTATATATTTTGCTTCGAACGCCGGGTATCCCTAGTATTCTACTAGAATCTTACCCGTTTCGTCGTTCTTCGCTATACCTTCGTAATATACGAATTTGCTACTAGCCGTAACTTCGGCTACTTCGGCCTATCGTACCTACTCCTAGAACTAAGTATTGCTATAGTTGTCGATTGAGATGATAGCGACCTCTCTAGTAGCCTGTTTTATCTTTCTACGGCGCGGGTCTCCGTTACCCTACGTCCTATCGTCCTGTCCTGTTGGCTAATACGTCGATCCTTTATAACTGCCACTTCTTCCTACGTCCGAGGGCTGTTACGTCTTATATTTTACGCTTTCTACGTTCTATGCCTTGCCCGTCACTTGTAGTAGATCCTTAAAGCGTATATATCTAGTACCGCTTGTTCGTGATCCTTCGTCTACACCTCCTATCGCGTTAGTCGGATGCGGTCCCGGTTCTAGTCGGGGCCGTAGGTAGCTACCTCCCTTCTAACTAATGTCTAGATCGTAGTCTTCGTGCTAGGGGAATCCTAGGATTATATCCTTCTTAGTCCCTATATCTATAATATCGAGGATAACCTTCGTAGTCTTTCTTTCGACTATAATATCGAGCGGCTCAGTTTTATACTATACCTACTACGTTAGAAACGGTTCTATAACTATATAGGGGTTCTATTTCTTCCTTTATAGAACCTGGAGTTGGTTAATCAATTGTAGTAAGATAAGGTTTAGTTCGGATCCTCTATCTACTAGTACCGTAACTTAATATAATCTCTATTACGCTAGGATCTAAAGTCTTCTATCCGTCCTACTGTCTACTACTATAGTTACTTCTATTTCCTAGTTGTTATCGTTCCCACGGATCCTTATCTAGAGGATTCTTTGCTCGATAACCGGATATCGCTAGGTTGTTAGTTGTTATTAGATTTTTAGAGGTTGTCGGGCCCCTCGGAGGGCCCCGGGCTGTTTCCCAAGTCCTAGTCGGGTATCGAGGCGTCTCTATCTATCTCTTAGCTTAGTTCGGTAGCGGCGCTAGACTCCTGTAGCCGTTGCCTATAGCTTCGGACCTCCTCCTTAGATCGGTCCTCTCTGAAGGCCGAACTTCCCTACTCCAGCCGTCGTTCCTTCTGTTAGTAGTGTTCAAGGGCCTTAGCTTATAAGTACTAGATATACTCGGTACTACTATAGTCGTTAGGGCTACTTAGGAATAATCCTCTATAGGTTATTAGCTATATATATTAGGGTCTAGTAAAGATCTTCCCCCCCTCCTTATACTTGAAGTACTAGAGGAAATCCGACGTTCTTTATCCTTAATTAAAGGTCTACCTAATTGGTTTTAGCCTACTATCTAGCATTACCTCGCGGATTAGCTAGTAGTCGTAGTTATACTTCTTCTTAAAGTAATACTTATATCCGTATACAATGTATTGGAACTAGGGGACTTGTATATAGTCCGCTCGTTCGGGATAAAGCCTTCTAGCTTCGCTACTATCGGCCTAGCAAAAGAGACTATTATAGTCGCTTTTCTATATCTCGCTATTACTCCGTCCGATACTAATATACCCTTGGGTTTACTAGTACTAGTACTAATCATTCGGCTATAGTAATATATACTTATACTTATATATTAGGTTCCGGATCTTAGTAGGACTATAGTCTTCGACGTTTATATTATAGGGTCTATCCTAACCGGTATACCCTCTATCGATCGAGTCGTTAAGTTAGAAGATTTCCTCGCGGAGCTCGTCCACTTGTTAGATAGCCTCCTCGAGCCTCTTCCCCGTTTCTTTACTCGTATCGATCATTCGGTAGATCATTCCTTAGAGCTATTCTCTCTACTCCTTAAGCTCTTAGACCTATTACTAGAGGTACCCCAGGTCGGGATCGTCCCGCTTGTCCATAGTTCTCTATAGCCTATTACTATTCTAGACTAGCCGTAGCCCCTAAGTGTTAGTAATCTACTTAACGTACTAGAGAGCTACTAGTACCGTAGGAGATACTTTTAACTAGGGTACTTCTCCTTTTTCTATACTATCGTCGTTACTCTCGGCTATCTACTTAGTCTTATAGAGTATATACTTGTTGTTTACCTATAGGTTCTA